AAAAAAAAAAAAAATGTCATGGGGCATTGGCGGCTACTTCAATTTCTTTAGCTATGCGAGCCCTAGGAATGCAGCAGTGTTAAAACTCTTGAGGGAGAGCTTTGTCGCTCTTGTGGTCCTACTCGGCTCAATTTCGGATTAATCAGTTCCCCTGTGAATCCAGAAACCGGAAGGTCCCTGTACCAAAAAAAATTGCAAATACTGTTTAATCAAAATATATTATTTCTAATCTAACTAGGATTCTTTAATATATATATATATATTCGAGATCATATGAGAATGGTAGATAATGAAAGAAATGAGAATGAATTTGTACCATTGGATTCTACATATCGATGGTTATGATTAGGTCAAAATTTAAATATTATAGTCAAGTTTGTTTTGGCAAATTCGTAATTAAATATGTATTTCGTGGTCAAATGTACCCTTTTGACCAATAATTAAGGGCAATCTAGACAATACATATTTACAACACATGGAAGTGGGCCCCACACACAAATATTAATACCTTCTCTCTCCCTTCTCTCCCCTTTCTCTCTCCTCTCTATCTCTCTCTCGTTCGATCGGCAGACTCCACTTTCTCGTCGCACAAATCTCACGGCAGCCGTTTCCGGCAGAAAACGTACTCCATGGCAGAAGAATGGCTTTAGTACACCATCGACGTCGTCATCTCCTTGGCGTCACGACCTCCGCCGCGGAGCCCAGCGCCGCCGGTGAACCAGCTTCCCGGCGATTTCCTCCGCCTCCGGCCGTCGTCACCAGCGTCCGCCTGTGCTTCGCCATTGAAATCGCCAGCACGTCCATTTTGTTATCCTTTGCCACTCGTCTCTCCGCAAATTGAATCGAGATTTTCAGTAAAAAAAAAATGGAGCACCAATTAATTCCGATTTCAATACTCAATTTGATGTTTGTGCTCGATTTCAGCCCGTCACCGGGATTGATTGAAGGTCATCAGCACGTTTTCCGACGGTCATCTACATAGGCAGAGGTGACTGTGCGTAGGTGTTGTGTGAGGAGATGAGATTTGAGGGCATGATATTGGAAATTAGATATATTCTAGTGCCTTATTTGCAAATTAAGAATATTGATTATATTTCAATTGAATGCATGTGTTAAATTTGTAATTATTAACAATTTAAAACTGTTATAAATATATTAATATGGACATTACTAATATATAATTGGACCTGAAGTCCATTAGTTAGTAGGATTAGGTGTGAGGGTTTCTCCATTGTAAACTCTATAAAAGAGTGAATCTCTTTTCTCGTTCTTTTACTGCACCTCTTTTATGCTTGGATTGATGGATGCTTGGTGAATATTGAGGACTCCAATTTATAACACGTTATCAGCACGCTCTAGTCCGTTATTGGTGTTGCCCTAGGAAAAAATCGTGTTTTTCCTGCAAGGTATTTTCGAGATCTGTTTATTTTTCCTCAATTCATAAGAATTTTATGTTAAAAGAATGACTTCAACCTTCGGTGCTCTGTTGTCTGATATCTTCCAAGCCTACTCAAATCTCTTTAAAAAAAAACAGAAAAAAACAACAAAAGAATTAGGCTCCAGACCCAACAATCATGATTTTGAATCTTCATTTTATGGCCTTATCAATCTTTTTGTATGAACTTCATCAGCTTGTATCTGCGCTATTATTTACGGCAGTTGCTCGCATATTTTTTTTTCTTGCTTTGCTTGTTTCATGATTTATGAGATTAATTCGATTATGATGTTCCTCTTTGATTTGTGTTTCGATAATTGACTCGTTGATTTGTTATTTCTCATTCTCTTGATATTCGAGTCGAGCTTGTAACTGTGTAAAAGAAAATCGAGGTTTATTTTGTTTCTAATTCGCTCGACGTATCGACAATTGAATCGTTCATTTTGTTTGAATATTTGGGAGTTGTTATAGACTGAGATTTTGTTGTTAGGGAAGATGATAGCAAATATGTTTGATAATTTGTTCATTAGTTTGATTAGATTGAGAATTAGTGCTCTTTTTTGTGCGAATGCGTCAATTGTTTGTTTCTTCCTTTTAATTGTGTGTCATGAATTGCTTCTAATTCTGATTTGGCATCATTCTCTCCACAAAAATATTTTAGGGATTTGATTCCCAGATGAACTACCTTTTCAGTGCATTTTCTTTGCTGTGACCATTTTTATAGTTTTCTGAACTCATTATTTTTTTTGGCTAATTGAATATCGTTAAATATTGATATGGGCCTCAATTCAAATAAATTTTCCATACAATTGATTTATTTGTTGTGGTTGTCATGCATCCATGATAGGGTTACATGATTTATGTTATGGTTTGACATAGAACATGACCTGTACTACTTGTTCAAGAATTGAGAAATTGAGTACAGGCTTGAGTTGAGATTCATTATAAATGACATCCATGTTTGCGATTAGAATAATCGTGGCCCAAATTACTTAATGTGTTGAATTTTCACTATATGGGTTCAGATTTATCAAATAAACTAGTTTAGGGTTCTTATGTTTAGTTAAAGTGCCATTTAAAATTTAATTGTCGGTATTGTCATATGCTTGACAAGATGATTTATTTCTTTTAGATTGTGAATATGTCTGATATCACCAAAAGAGAATTTGCTAAGCTTGCCCTTGATGGAAGTAACTATTTGACTTGGGCCCTTGATGTTGAGATTTACCTGGCCTCATTTGATTCAAGTGCCACGATTGATTCTACATCTCAGAGCACTCTCGCCCAGAAGGCGAAGGCATTGATTTTTCTTCGTCACTATCTCAATAAAGATCTGAAAAATGAATATCTCATTGAGAAAGAGCACGCCAATCTTTGGACATCCCTGAAGGATCGCTTTAACCAACAAATGGCAAGGAAAGGCTCCTCAAGGTGAATCACATCATGCTAGTTTGCCTGAAGCAAATTTAGCCATCAATGATGATGATGATGATTTATTGAAGCTCGAGCTCGAGGACTATGGTGATGATGTGTGATTATATGCATTTATTTCATGGTTTGTTTCATGCTATTAGACATTTCTGATTTCTTTTGTTTCGTCAGACATTTGTGGTTTGTTTTTGCTATTGGTATGTTTTCATATGTTATGATTTGATTGGAATTTCATGACTTTTTCGCTTGCTTACAATATTTTACTTTTCTTTTAGTGTACCACAACCACTCATTAGTTTGCATCTTATGGAGAAAGAGGGCCTTTTATGTCTGGTCGACAGTGCTACTACGCACACTATTTTGAAAGATAGGAAATTTTTCCAAACTTTGAATGAAAAGAAGGGGAGTGTTTCTACAATTGCTCATGATAAAATCTTGATAGTAGGCTCCGGCAGAGCTTTACTTACTCTTCCTAAGGGTACCGAATTAATTATTAACGATGCGCTTTTGTACCCTGATTCACAAAGAACACTCCTTAGTTTTAAAGATATTCGATCTAATGGTTTTCATCTTGAAACTAAGACTGAAAACAATATAGAGTATCTTCTAATGACTCATTCACAAGGAAGTCAAAAGAAAATTATAGAAGAACTTCCCTCTTTCTCCTCAGGCTTGTACCATACTTACATTCGACCTTCTATTAATCATGTTGCATTGAGCTTAAAATTTAAAGACCCAAATTCATTTAAATTATGGCATGAGCGATTGGGTCATCCTGGGCTTAGTATGATGCGTCGGATTATTTCTAACTCTATTGGGCATAGCGTATCAAGCAGCAATCTCCCTTCTTTTAATAAATTTATTTGTGATGCTTGTGCAAAGGGAAAATTAATATTGAGACCTTCACGTACTAAAGTTGGAATTAAATCTCCTACGTTCCTTCATAGGATTCAAGGTGATATATGTGGCCTATTCATCCCACTTCGGGACCTTTTCGATATTTTATGGTATTGATAGATGCTTCCAGTCGATGGACATTTGTGTGTTTATTGTCCACTAGAAATAAGGCTTTTCCAAAGCTCCTTGCTAAAATTATTGAATTAAGAGCTCAATTTCCTTATTATTAAATTAAAACTATTAGAATGGATAATGCCGGTGAATTTACATCGAAAGCTTTTGATGATTACTGTATGTCACTGGGCATCAAAGTGGAACATCCGGTACCTTATGTGCACACGCAAAATGGTCTAGCCGAATCACTCATTAAGCGCATCAAATTAATTGCTAGACCATTGTTACAAAATTCCAACTTACCAATTTCATGTTGGGCACATGCAATTTTACATGCTGCTGCCCTAATTCAAATCCGACCTACTGCATATCATGATTACTCTCCTTTACAACTAGTGCGTGGTAAAGAACCTAACATTTCCCATCTGCGAGTATTTGGTTGTGCAGTCTATGTTCCCATATCACCACCACAGCGTACCTCTATGGGCCCTCATAGAAAGCTAGGTATATATATTGGCTATGAATCTCCGTCTATTCTAAAATACCTAGAGCCCATGACTGGGGATCAATTTACAGCTAGGTACGCTGACTGCATATTCGATGAAGAGAAATTTCCGACATTAGGGGGAGATAAAAGCCCAAACTTAAATAAATGCCGAGAAATTTCTTGGAATGTAGAAAATCTATAATATTTAGATCCACGCACTAGTCAAACTGAACTTGAAGTTCAAAAGATAATTAATTTGTAATATTTAGCAAATAATCTGCCAGATGCATTTACTGATCATAAAGAAGTTACCAAATCTCATGTACCTTCAATAAATGCTCCACAACGTGTGGAAGTCCCCATAAAATCTAATAATCCTGCAGATGCTCCACGCCAGAAGCGTGGTAGACCCGTTGGTACAAAAGACAATAATCCGCGGAAAACGAAATCTAATAAGAATATTGAATCACTCCCGAAATCTCCAGAAGTGAATCGTCCAGAAGGCAAAAATCCTAGTTTAAATACACGTGCAACAAATAATAAAAATACTAGGATTGCGGAACATCCAGATCAAAATATATTGGGAAATGATGAAGATCTGGTTGATGTAAATATTGAAGTAGCTACGAATTTTGTTGATACAGGAACTTATAATAGAAGTAACATAGTCGCCGACGACACATTTGCCTCTATAGTTGCTTTTACCATCTCCAATAATCTGGATCCAGAACCTAAATCAATTGCAGAGTGCCGGAAGTGCTCCGATTGGGTAAGATGGAAAGAGGCAATTGAGGCTGAACTAGACTCGCTAAATAAACAAAAAGTTTTTGGCTCTATTGCGCGTACACCTCAAAATGTTATCCCAGTAGGATATAAATGGGTGTTCGTGCAAAAGAGAAATAAAGATAATGATGTGGTGAGATACAAAGCGAGATTAGTTGCTCAAGGGTTTTCGCAGAGACCCGGAATTGATTTTGATCAAACATATTCTCCTGTAATGGATGGAATAATGTTCCGCTATTTGATATCTCTGGCAGTAAATATGAATTTAGATATGCAGTTAATGGATGTCGTGACCGCATATTTATATGGGTCATTAGACACAAATATATATATGAAAATCCCTGAAGGATTAAAGATTCCCGAAATAAGGGAAAATGAAACGTGCAACATGTATAGCATTAAATTACAAAAGTCATTATATGGCTTAAAACAGTCGAGTAGAATGTGGTACAACCGGCTGAGTGAGTTTTTGTTGAAAAATAATTATGTGAACAACGATGTGTGCCCCTGTGTGTTTATAAAGAGGTCAACGAATGGTTTTTGCATCATTTCAGTTTATGTCGATGACATAAATATAATTGGCACACGAGAGGAGCTTGATAAAGCTAGCTCATGCCTAAAGACGGAGTTTGAAATGAAAGATTTGGGTAAAACCAA